ACATTGCTCTCTTTGTCCTTTTTGCTTTAGCCATAACATTCTTTACAGCTGAAAATGTCTTTTCCTTGACAGCTCTTCCTCCACTTGGTAAAATTGTAATAATTTTATAAAATTATGTGAGTTGTTATCTTCCATATGGATTTCTCCATGTTACAATTTCTCCACCTTGGATTGCATAACTGCTTCAGTTATATATTTTTTTAAATCTGTAAGTCAGTTTGGGCTACCTCAAACTCTCAAAATGCTACTTCTTCTGCCATAAAAACATGACATTCTCACTCTGGAAATTCAGTAAAATTACACACTTCTTAAATACTTAGTGTTTTTCCAAGTGTCATAATTCTTAGTTATCTATACCTCTACCCCCAAATTAAATTCCCTATCCCCAAATTAAAACTATACATTGGGATACGTGTCTTCACGTATGCATGCACTCTTTATTTGTACATTCATTCATTCACTTTTGCATACAACATTAATCATAAATCCATAACGGATATAACACTGCTTGTGGAGTTAGAGTACGATATCAAAATAAATAATAAAATGTGGTAAAATTTTAAAAAGAGTAAGATTAATAGAAGTTATGAGTGGGAGAAGTGAAAGAAATACAGACTATTAAATACCATAAATTTTCCAATTATTGGCCACAAATAAGTTATCTGAAATCTCTTACATGGTTTATCACAGGGCTTTATATCTAGAAAGTGATTAATGAATGTTTTTAAATTGCTAACTGAATTATATTTTTTGAGAGATAAGTCAAAATTCTTCAGAAATGTGTTCTGGTGTTAGCAAACCAACTTATTTATTTCTAAGTATTAATATCAATGGCATTATAAACAAACAACGTTCCAGCACATATTTTGAGAAGATGAAAAACAGAATGGACAGGCTCAAAAGTAACCTAATATGACACAATAATAAATATATACATAATCTTTGCAGCCATTTCTTGGTGCATAGCTTCTAAAACCCTTGAAATCTCTGAAGAGATAAGTGTATTTTCATATGCTAGTGAGATTACTAGCATAGCTGTGGGTTCCTGGATATGGGAACATCCAGGATATTATCCAGATGGGGCCTGGTTGCCATGGGAACCAGCTTTGTGATTAAATAATTGAAATTTTAAGCCCCAGCCCCCAACATCCAGGGAGGAATTAGGGGTTGAAGGTTGAGCTAATAACCAATGGCCAATAATGTAATTGATTGTACATACATAATGAAGCCTCTATAAAAATCCCAAAAAGACAGTATTTGGAGAGCTTCTGGGATGCTGAACACATCTACATCCTAGTAGCATGGCACATTCCATCTTCATAGGGACAGAAGTTCCTAGGCTTGGGACCCTTCCAAATCTCACTGTATGTACTCTTCATCTAGCTGCTCATTTGTATTCTTTAACATATCCATTGTAATAAATAGGCAATAATGAGCAAAGCATTTCCTTGAGTTCTACAAGCTATTAGAGCAACTGATGGAAGCTGGGGATGGGGTTATGGGAACCCCCAATATGTAGCCAATTGATCAGATATATTGGAGATGGAGACTTGCAATTAAATCTGAAATAGGGTACACTCTTGTAGAACTAAGCCCTTAATCTGTGGAATTTGACTCTTACTCTAGGTAGATCATGTCAGGATTGAATTTAACTACAGGCCAACAAGCTAGTGTTAGGGAATTGGTCATGTGGGAAAACAGACAGACACACACACACACACACACACACACACACACACACACACACATCTGGGGTCATAGAATGTTCTGTGTTGACTGTGAGTAGTAAAGGACAAAACTGTCTTATTCTAATAAATTCCTGACATATAAAAATATTTGTATTTATATTAACATGTACATTTAATTCACTCTTCAATAAACCTTCATTCAAGGCCCATTCTGTGAAAAGTACATGCTATCAGGTTTTTTTTTTTTTTTTGAGACACAGGGAAGATAGTCTTTACTTTAAAAAAAGAATAAACATCACTCAGAATAAAAGAAAGACAAAGTAAAATGAATAAGGTGTTATTGACTTAGTCAAAGACTCGAGAAATGACTCATCTACGTCTCTCATTTTATCAAGAACTTTGTAAAAAGGAATCTCTTATATCTCCCATATTTAAAATCAATATTCTTGTCACTCCAAACCTCTCCAACTATGTTCCCATTCAGAGGAACAATTCTTCATACAATTTTTTGTCTCCACTTTCTTACTTCACATTCACTCTCCCACCATGACTTTGCTTCTGTTCCAATTAGTTCAATGAAATTGAACTGCTCTGATTGGGATAATCAAATCCTTCTTGTTTCCATTCCAACAGGTATGATTCTTTTAAAATAAAGCAATGAACATCATTTAATATCATGAGTTATTCTGTACTTCTTTAAACACGCTTATCTCTTTTTTCACTCATAGCTCTCCTTTTCCAGTTTCAACTCTGACTTGGCCTTAAAATGTAGTTCACTGAAACCTATGACTTGAAACTCTATACAGACTAGAAGAAAACAGGGGGAAAGCTTTATATCATCAGTCTGGATAGTGATTTTTTGGATATAACTCTCAAATCATCGGCAAAAATAGCAAAAATAAAGAAGCGGGATTACATTAAAATAAAAAGATTCTGCCCAGCAAAGAAAACATCAATTGATAGAGTGATGAGAAAACTTATAGAATGAAAAAAACTGCAAACCATACATCTGCTAAGAAATTAATATTCAAAATACATAAGGAATGAAATAACTCAATAGAAAAAAAAACAGTTAAAAATGGGCAAAGGATCTGAATAGACATTTCTCCAAAGAAGACATACACATGGCCAACAAGCATATAAAAAAAATGCTCAATGTCACTAATTATCAGAAAAATGCAAACTAAAACTATAATGAGATATCACCTCCCACCTGTTACAATGACTATTCAAAGAAAGATGAAAGATAACAAGTGTTGATGAGAATGCAGAGAAAAGGGAATACTTGTACAGTATGCATGGGAATGTAAATTAGCACAGCTCTTATGAAAAACACAATGGAAGTCCCTCAAAAAATTAAGAATAAAACTACCATATTATACAGCAATCTCACTACTGGGTATATATCCAAAGGAAATGAAGTGAACATGTCCAAGAAATATCTATACTCCCATGTTCATTGCAGCACTATTCACAATAGCCAACATAAGGAATCAACTCAAGCGTCCATCTATGGATAAATGGATAAAGAAAATGTGGCATATTTTTATCTTAAGGCAGTGGAATACTCTTCTGCCTTAAGATAAAGGAAATCTTGGCATTTCAGACAACATGGATGAACCTGAAGGATACTATGTTAAGCAAAATAAGCCAGGCACAGAGAAACAAATGCTATATGATCTCATTTATATGTAGAATATAAATAAGTCAAACTCATAGAAGTAGAGTAGAATGTTTCTTACCAGGGCCTGGTAGTGGGTAGTAATTGGGAAGATGTTTGTCAAAGGATACAAAATTTCAGTGAGACAGAGGAAAAAGTTCAATAAAGCTATTGTACATCATGGTGTCTGTAGTTAATAACATATATTGTATACTCAAAAATTACTAAGAGTATACTTTAATGTGCCCATCACACAAAAAAATTATAAGTGTATGAGATACCACATATGTTAATTAGCTTGGTTTAGCCATTCCACAATGCATAAAATATTTTAAAATACTTCATATATAATAAATGTATACAAATTTGTCAATTTAAAAAATAAATAGGCTGGGCAGGGTGGCTCACACCTGTAAATCCCAGCACTTTGGGAGGCCAAGGTCGGTGGATCACCTGAGGTCAGGAGTTCGAGACCAGCCTGGCTAACATGGTGAAACCCCATTTCTACTAAAAATACAAAAATTAGCTGGGTGTGGTGGCACCCGCTTGTAATCCCAGCTACTGGGGAGGCTGAGGCAGGAGAATCATTTGAGCCCAGGAGACAGAGGTTGCAGACAGCAGAGATCACGCCATTGCACTTTAGATTGGGCAACAAGAGCAAAAAAATAAATGAATAAAAAATAAAAAATCATAATTATAATCATAATCACCACAATAAAAATGTAGGCATTCTATAGTGCTTAGCCTTTGGTCGTCTCCTTTTCTCACTCTACACTTTTTCTATATGTAATATCATTAAATGATACGGCTTGCACATAAAATACTAACTACTCAAATAGGTATTTCCAGTCTAAACCTCTCAAATAAGCTCAAGACTTACACGTCATAGTGGCCACCAATGTCCCCTAATGTCTGAAATGCATCTTAAATTTAACATATAAAAAAAGTGGACTTGGATCTTCACTCCTAAACCCATTCTTCCCAGATCTTCAGTAAACTGTACCTGTACCACCATCTACTCAATGGTTCAACCCATATTCCTGGTAGACATATTTTATGCCTTCCTTTCACCTCTTTTCATGCCTCATATTTAATCAGTCAGCAAATCTCTGCAAGTTATAATTTTTTTTTTCTTTTTAGACAGAGTCTTGCTGTCACCAGGTTGGAGTGAAGTGGCCTAATCTCTGCTCACTGCAACCTCCAGCTCCCTGGTTCAAGCTATTCTCCTCTATTCTCCTGCTTCAGACTCCTGAGTAGCTGGGATTACAAGCATGCACGACCATGCCCAGCTAATTTTTGTATTTTTAGTAGAGACGGTGTTTCACCATGTTGGCCAGGATGGTCTCAATCTCCTGACCTCATGATCCTCCTGCCTCATCCTTCCAAAGTGCTAGAATTACAGGTGTCAGCCACAGTGCCCAGTCACAATTTATACTTCTAAGATATATTTCACAACCTTTCTTGTGTACTTCTCTACTAAAGTGTCCAAGTCCAAACCTTTAGCACTGAGTGGACTTTCAATGTCTTCACTTCCTAAATGTGCTCTTTGCTGTTTTTCTTCCCTTGCTTCCCTTCAGTTCGTTTCTCACACAACAGTTAGATTGGCAAAATAAGTATATCTCATCCCTGTCTCTCTCTTTCTTTCCCCCTCTCTCACTCTCTCCTTCTTTCCCTTTTCTTCTTCCACTCCCTCCCTCTGATTTAAAATTGTTGACCAGCATCCAAATTCCATCTTCTCCTTCAAAGCCTACATCATCTGACCTCCTGGCCTACCTATTGTCTCTACCCCAATCATCCTGGCCTCCTTTCAGTTCCTGAAATGTGCCTAGATCTTCCATGCCTGAAATATTTCACTTATGCTATTTTTTCTACCCAGAATTCTCTTTACCTACATCTTTGCATGGCTGAGTGTCTTTTTCTTCTTTAAGCATCAGTTTGTGTTACATGAAAGAAGTATTCGCTTATACTATCAGCAGCTCCTTTTTTTTTTTTTCCAGAAAATTGGATGTTTTTATTATTGGTTCAATTCTTTAGTTCTGTCTTCACTCTGTAATCTATAAGGTCTATGTGGGAAGCCACACTTTCTGTCTTACACACTTCTGTAAGAATTACCTAGTATAATGTCTGGTAGCTGATTAACAAAATAAATATTTTTAAACAAATATATTGTTTTAACTGAATTAACTAATTGCAAACTACTATAAAGAATTCAAATTGATCTTCTAGTTTTGGAGCCAGTTGTCTATTAAGCTCTGATGAAAGTCAATATTTCTTAATTCTAAGTGCTAAAAGCAAAGACTAAGTAGAATTACTACCTAAATCTATGAGAACTAAAAAGAGAGAGAAGCTAATCATATATATTTGTAATACCTGATGCTTCGGCCTATAAAATAAATTGTGTTTTTCTTATGCAGTCTCATTTTCTCTAGATTAAAATTCAAAAGTAAATACAAAATTTTATGGGGCCTTTGCTTTCACAGTATCCTTGGATATCATTTAGCATATTTCAATTTTTTAAATCCATGAATACCTGAGAAGATTTAGGCTTTCATGGAAGTATAGTCTAGAAATTTCTGTATTTGTTATTTCTTAAAAGATCTTAGCACAATTAAATAAGCTAAATGATGAAGACATCTAATGACAGAATTCATATTTTTTGTTCTTATGTTTTGTCATCTAGCTGAAAGACCCTGAAGCCAAAATAAATTTATGACAACAATGCAGGAGCCAAACACAACTCAACATAGACTGGTGTCTTGCTTCAGTTTGACATGCAATGTTACCACTTTATAGCATGAAGTGAGAAACCTGAAAGACAGCAAAGCAGAAACAAATAAATAAGTAATTAAGCTTTTTCTAGCCCATGGAAAACAATTTAGAAGTTAGAAATTACTTTTTATATTTTTTATAAATTCCTATCCCAGTAATCAAACATCAGTATAAATACCAAACAAGGCCACAATTGATTCTTGAACAATCTGTATCAGCAGCCTCTATACTTGGCATAAAGAAGCAAGCACCAACTGTATCATAATCTTTAAATATATGTTAATAAACAGCATTAATAAATGCTGTAAAATGAGTTCAAAATTAAAGATAAAACATATTTGCTAAAAATTTAATTTTGATCAAAAATACTAATCATTGTCAAGCATTTTATGTTAAGAATCAGTTCCATTATCTCCCTTTTGTTGCTTGGAAAGAAGGTGAAAAATTTCCTCAGAAATTAAGAATTCAGACACTACTATTTACTTAATACCTATGATGTTTCCCAATGTAGCATTCTCACATAGTGGAAAGAGACTTCTGAGTGAGCTCCATCTAAATTCAACATAAGCCTGAAACCTTCCTGATTGTATAGCCTTATAATCTCTCTAGAAATCTGCTGATTTTTCTTATCTTTAAAATTGGAATCTTCCTCATCGAAATATCGAGATGACTATTTTAAATAAGACACTATATGTAAAGCTGTGTGCACTTGGAGGTGCTCAATAAATATTACTTCAGATGATCTTAGAAATTAGTGAAGAGATTAAATTTTGTCAAATTTCTCCTAATGTTTCATAAACATTCTCTCAGATAGTAGGTAAACCTTATGCCTTCCCTGTAGAGCTGATAATACTATCATTATTGCCACAGGTTTGTACTCAGAATTTGGTACTCAGGGAAGGCACTTGCATGCTCCACATCAGACACATTGGGATATAAAGGGCTGAAATTCAAACCATAGATATGTTAAAAGCCATTTTTTTCTAACCCTTTGGTTGACTCATAAGGGAAAATTTTCCAAGATGTGATGGCTATCAGGACTATTTTACTGGGAAAAGATCAAATTGATTTGACCTATTTGGTCAAACCCCAAACATGGGACTGAAGACTACTTAAAGTCAGAGATCACCCAAGAGGACAGTCTTTAAGTAGTGACTCCCTGGGAGATCCATAGTTCAAATGTCTACATGTCCCCTCCTTTCCTATTCCCAGGACCACATCAGCAAGTGCCCCAGGAGGCAGAAGACTTTGTAAAGAAGTCCAGCCAAATAAGATGTATTAAGATCTAAAGATAAATTGTTAAGTTTATCACTATTGTTTTTAATACGCTATCTATTCTTTCCTATTTTTTCATTCCAAATGTTAGAATAATGGTGGTAAAAGATGGTAAAGGCTATAGATAGACTACAAAATAAACTGTCTCAGTTATTTCCTCTAAATCAATCTCCAAAACTCACATTTTATTAATAAGTAGCAGAGTCTGAAACCAAGGCTATACCAATCCCAGGAAGGACCTGCCTATTAAAAATGTAGCCCACTGAAACCACCCAATTCCAACACCTAGAACATGGTTTAGACAGCCAACTGTAACCAACCTATTTCTTATTCACAGCTCAAGAGCTACAGTTGCATAAGGGCCTTGCTCACACTCTGCACTCAATGGATGCTCAAAAAGTAGTTTTGGCCGAAACTAATTGATGTGACTAGGAGAATGAATGTGAAAATACTAAAATCTCCGGTCCTAAAGCTAATAACATTTCTCAAAAACACCATTGTACATTCCAAAGGATATCTGCTCTAAACATTAAATGCAACTATCTGTTCTTAGCATTAAAATTTAGCTCAGGAATATCTTAAAACATTTGAGAATAGTTTAATTTTGCCTTTCAAAAATTTTTTTCCAATCAATATTTGGCTAGTTTTGAAAAATCTGGCAATCATATATTACTTGGTAATGATGATGACTGTCCCACTCACTTTCCTTCTGCCCTTAAAAACAAATCTGGAGAATATTTCTATTCAAAACAAATTTTTTCATTCTAACAACATCTGGCTACTTAAGTTTTACCTCTCTTCCTAATAAGGTTCAAAATTGTTATCATTCATGATCATATTGTTATCGTATTTATGGAATAAATCAATAAATATCCTAAATGTGAGATATCTATGGGGGCGGTGGAATAAAATAGTTAAAATATAAACCGAAAATCTAGAACATACAGTCAATGTGCATGTAATGACTGACTGCTGATAATTCTTTGTTTTTTTTTGAAAACTTCATGACTCGCTGTTTGAATAAAGTATTCAGAAAAATAACAGGTTTTTGTTGTTGTTGTTCTTTTACAAAAGTTTCCTAGTAGTTGATATGCTATCTACTAGGTGACAAAAGTCCAGCCCTATGGTGACAGAGCAAAGATTAAAAACTGCTGGTCCTTCAAGACAATAGAAGGTGGGGTATTTTCATGACAGATAAAGTTCTTAAGGAGTATAGAAATTACTGGACTAATGCGAATAGGAATGAAAGCCTTTTCTATAAATGACTGAGTATCCCTAATGATCTATGGGTTCCCAATGTCCTAGGAAATAACTCATTTCATGAGGGAAACCAGCCATTCAGCATAGAGGGAAGCATAATGGAAGGATATACAGGAGAACCTAGGGGGTTAGAGGAAAAGAAGAACGATACAATAATATCAAGGCTTGTAACCAGGATGTACCAGCAGAGACCTCTTGGCACCCAGGGAATTGTGAGTGAGTTTGGCTTGTACAATTGTGAGACTCCAAGCGGGACTTTGTGATGTGGTTGGATGGTGGAATATGTTTGTATCTTGAATACATTGTTGCTATTTTTAGTTGTAACCACATTTTGTCCTAATGATAGGGTACTTGTAAGTAGAAGTAATTAGTTTGTTTCTGTGAGTAAATTTTCCAGTTATTTGATAACAATTTGAGTGAACGAAACAGTGTAAGAAGAAATGCAAAACACAAAGCATGCCAGGGTCTAATTTCTAAGGGTATCCCAGTAAAAATGTTACAATGAATTAGGTAACTTCAGAGAACAGGTAGAATTTATCTATTCACTTAGACTGTCATTTATGCACCAAGCATTATATAGCTTCTATAGGAATGTCCTGGAATCAGGGTCAGATTATAGGTACTAAATAAATACATCACGTGTATTCTCAAGAAGCTTACAGAAGAACAGAAAAAACATAACCTCATTAAAATGAATGGAAATAAAAGATGCTACAATGACACATAATTGTCAAGCTACTTGTAGTTGTTTCAGACTGGGGAGGGGCCACTTAGACAAGGATGACAGAAGACTATTCAAAGATGACTTGTTCCCTAAAGTAATGTTTAAAACTGATAGCCACTCCAAAGATAACATTCCAGTTAGCCTTCAAATTAGATGATTATTAATTCAAAGGTCTCATTAATGTAATTATATATTATTTAGTAAATATCATGGTGAGAGATGGCATAGCAAAGTTGGAGGGGAGCAGAAATCATACAAACAAGAAAGTAACTAAACCAGACTCTTTGATGTTCTCCTGTCATCTGTAGCCCAACAGACATGCTAAGCACAGTGCTAACTCAGGGGCTTTTTCATCTAATTCAAGTACTACTATCATAAACTCCTCAAAATAATTTGTATACTGAAAGTAGAATTCCACATTCTGCTATTTCATGGACTTCCAAATGGCCATGTTCTCGATTTCAGGTATTCTCTGTGCCCCTGTATAATTCTTTTTCTAGGAGATGGTAAACAGAACTCAGATTAAAATCGTATAGCAGTACTTCTCTTTCTTTAGTCCATCTGTCTTAGTCATTGATTTACAGTTCTAACCTTGGAAATTTTCAGACTCTTTGGAAAAAATAGCAAATGACATAAATCCAAAACATATTAGCAGGTAAGAGACTAATGCTCTGCTTCCTCCACTTTGGCAAATTGGATCAAACATCGAGACGGTACAAAGTTTAAGGAAATGGAAATTTTGGTTTAACACGTGTCACCTCTCTCCCCAGTCTCATTTCTGTTTTCTTCTAGCCACTCTCCCACAATCACATTCATATACATTTTATGTCAAGAACTTGAAAATCATACCATTAGTCTATTCACATACACACACAAAGTTTTCAACTTCTTTTTCGACAACACATTTCAATGGATTACGTTCTGGTACCAAACAAATAAAACATACTTGCTTCCCCAGAAATTCTAATATTAACTAGACAGTAGCAACACAAGTCAACATAAAGTCATTTAGACAGTTGTACAAATACTAATGAATAATGTATATTCAGTTTTAAAATCTTAGTAAATATGGATTATGTGAGTGAAAAATAAAAAACAAACTGGAAAATCTTTCAACCATTAGAGCTTATTAAATAAAATGTATATGAGACTATTGGTTTGGACTGAACTCCTGCACTAGACCCAACAGACCAAACCAAAACAGTCACTCATGCTATAAAGTTCCATGTCACTAAGCCAAAAAATAAGTTATCTGATCTTCCAAGAAGTCAGGAGAGTGAGAGATAATAGCCAAATTCCCAAACAAGCCAGTTATAGCCAACATGATAAGGAAGTGCCCTCTGTTTTAACACTTACAAGGAAAATAACTTTGAAACAACCAATCTGATTTTTATTCTCTGTTTCTGCTTTCCTCAGCTCTTTGTCTACAAAACTAACCTCTGTAGCTCAGTTCATTCGAACACTTTATAGGATGACGTGTTGCCCAATTCTAGGATCACAAATAAGAGCCAGTTAAGAGTTTCACTTCTAAACGTGTTATTAGTTTGTCTTTTAACAACCTGAAAGAGGTTCTAAGTCCATCGAGGTCAGCAGCTTCATTATACAAAAAGGAAAACCACAAGTATAGTATGTATAGAAGGAAATCATAACATTCCATTCCATTCCATTGATGGAATAAGGCTTGTTGTAGGAGGTCAGATTTCCTAAATGCTCTGAACACAAGAGACTGAGTTTTCTGTTAAAATGATTAAATTATCAACCTGAAAACAGCAAGGTTTATTTAAATGATAACAATTTTCCCTTCTTAAGTGATAGAATTAAAAGGTCTTCTAAATTTCTGTTTGAAATATAGAAATTCTTCCTTGTACCTGTAAGCAATCCCTTTCTCAGAATCAGATGCCTTATGTAAGTTTTTCATTGCCATCTCAAACAAGCCTGGCAGCTTTGGTCAAAGACAGAAAACAACCTCTGGAATAAATTTCAAGGTTTCCTTAAGGTCTGACTAATGTTGCTAGGTTTCAGAAAAGATTCCTTATTTTTAGGCTAAGGATTGAAGCTGTACAGCATGTCTGTTTCCAAACATTAGCGTTTTCCTTCCTTTTTGAATGGTCAATAAGCCAGTTCCACATTATCAAAGTGAAAGATCATGAAAGTCAATTTTTTAACAAGTCCAACTCAATTTAACTGAGTGCAAAGGACCCTCAAATATCCTATTTTATTTCAAATTTGATGGTATATCAAAACAAGCAGTATTATAAAATGAATTCTTTTTCTTACTCAAAAGTAAATTGCATTATTAAAATATAAGCCCTAGTTTCCAAATATTGTATTACAAGAATTTGAAAAGAGCATGTAACAGGAAAATTTTGAAGCAGGCTTGGCTTTATTTTGGAAACTCTAAATGTTACCAGTTTATTCCCAAGGGTAGTCATCAGCATTGATATTGACAATGCCTTTCTTAAAATAGCCAGTGAGGAGTTCTACATACAAAGTGTACTCAATAAGCTTGCTCATCAATTTACTGACTCACTAATAGATTTGCCATTGCTTTGTGTCATCAATTTAAAACACCTTAATATGAAAATAATTTATGGAAACCCATGGTCCTTGCAAATAAGAAAGAATACTGTTTTGTTTTCAGTTTTCATCATCTTGTTTTATCTTTATTCATAAAGATTTAAATGGCAAATTAGGCTATCAAAATTGTCACACCTACACTGCAGTCTCCTTTAACTCTCCTCACACAAAATGTTCCTTCCTTATTTATCTTTATCTTTTCTGTTTGGACATAAATCAAAAGCCTTGTAATTTGAATGTTTAATCTACAGAAGATTTCATTCCTTGTCAAAGAGATCTAGATTGAGTATATCCTTCCACTAACAGTATCACCCTATATTAGTAACTCATAAAAAATTGAGAATCACATAAAATTATTTTTATTTAGTTCGCTAAATAATATAAAACCTGTACATGCATTTTACATTTGATGAAGAAACTAAATGTTTATTTATTTAAGCTATGTGGTCTGTTTACTACAAGAGGTTTGATTCACAGTTAAACACACACACACACACACACACACACACACACACACACACACACAATATAAAGTAACAGGAATAAAATGGAAAACAAAACTTGAAAAATAAGGAAACAAAGAGAAGATTCCCAGTCAGCTAAAATGAGCAGATTATTGTATTTGTTTCTGATTTCCTGACATTTAAGGCAAACTTGTATTTGTGCTTCAAGAAACAGATCAAATGACACCTGTCCAGTGAAGTTTCTCCCGAGTCCCTAAGGGTCAGCAGTTCTTTCTCCTCCAGAACCCTAGTAGGATGTGAATACTTATCTCATTTGTTGCAATACTTTGCTTATAAATCCTTCTTTGCTCACAGGAGCAATTCCTCAAGGCATCAAAATCAGGGACCTCTGTCTTTCCTTGGTTCCTGTTGTTAAATTAGTATTTAGCACCCTCCAGTAGCCCATTTTTCCTCTTGGAAACTTTTTCAACTTCCTCGTTATCATTTCAGTTCTGAAATATCACCAGTTGGTTGGTTCTTATAGTCTGAAGATTTGCACTGCCTTTTTTAGATTAAAACAAAATGTTTAATATTAAATAATTTTTACATCTTACTTTTCCTCATACTCTTTTTCTAAAACTCCTGGAGAGATATCAAATTCTCTGAGATAACGTTCAATAACTCATCAGTATTCTGTTTATATTTTCTATTTTTTGTTCTATGCTTTGCATGTTTATCAAATTTCGTTTTCAGAATACAGCATTAGTTTGGTATGTATGTTTTCTAGTTATTTCTTTCTTAACGTTTTCAGAAAATATGTTTGACTTCGAAGAATACTTACTGGGTTTTCATAGTAGTCTGCTTTTCCTTTATTTTTCTTTTCTAATGTAGATAATGTGCACTCAAATCTTTCCGAGAATGTAATTAGAATATTTTTCAAGTTTTTTTATGTTCAGTGAATTATTTCTGTTTCCTCCAGTCATTCGTTCTATTTTATCAGCTTGTTTCTTTGCATTTAGGTTGTTGATTTTCTTAAATTCTCTGATGATCATTAGCTGGTAATTTACAATTAAGAATAAAGGTATTAATGGATGAATTAAGGTAGCTGTCAAATCTGATGATATATTTCCCCAAAATGTACTTCCATGGAATGAACAGGCTGTTTTCCTCTTTGTGTAATGTTAAAGAAAAGTATATTCAATAATATTTCTTAAAGCACAGTAAAAAAGGCGTCATTTAGGATCATTGCAATAACTACAAGAATCTCTGCAACTGGGTCTTACAATAGGAGACAGAGATTGAATTCAATTCTGAATACAGCATGGGAAAGTGAGAATTTGTAGCCAAGAAGCAGAGAAGGGAGCCAGAGGATGGAAAATTACTAAGCAGAAACATCAGGGGTCAGGGGGATTCTGGCTAAACCAACCTACCAGGATACTTGCTAAAGACAGACCAGAGTAATCAGAAATCAGCTGGGGGATAATGGAGGATGAATATTATGATCAGTTTTCAAGAGTGATCAGACATTGACATTGGGGATTGTTGACTTGGTTGACTTGGTTAACAGTATTGTCTTAGTTAAAACAGTACTGACTTAGTTAAAACAGTATTTTACGCCGGGCGCGGTGGCTCAAGCCTGTAATCCCAGCACTTTGGGAGGCCGAGGTGGGTGGATCACGAGGTCAAGAGATCGAGACCATCCTGGTCAACATGGTGAAACCCCGTCTCTACTAAAAATACAAAAAATTAGCTGGGCATGGTGGCGCGTGCCTGTAATCCCAGCGACTCAGGAGGCTGGGGCAGGAGAATTGCCTGAACCCAGGAAGCGGAGGTTGCGGTGAGCCGAGATCGTGCCATTGCACTCCAGCCTGGGTAACAAGAGCGAAACTCCGTCTCAAAAAAAAAAAAAAAAAAAAAAAAAAAAGTATTTTACAACAAAGTGCACAGATAGGGCTAGGAGAACGTTCAGAAGCCTTGACTAAAATTTGGTTAAGCAAAGAATCCTTGTCAGCAAATAGATGAGGACATACCAACTGGGTGGCATCATATTAAGTTGTGTGGACAAGAGGTAAGCAGGTAGGTTGCCCAAATGCCAAAATAACAAAAAATATTATTCTGGGAATGAAGAACTTTAGTATATTTTTCTCCCGGTCTGAGAATTTTTATTAGTCTGTTCTCATGTTGCTGATAAAGACATATCTGAGATGGGTAATTTATAAAGAAAAAGACGCTAAATGGACTCACAGTTCCATGAGGCTCAGGAGGCCTCAGACAAGAGAAAAGTGAGAGCCAAGTGAAAGGGATTTTTCCTTATAAAACCATCAGATCTCATGAAACTTATTCACTACCACAAAAACAGTATGGGAAGAACTGCCCCCATGATTAAATTATCTCCCACTGGGCCTCTCTCACAATACGTGGGAATTAAGGGAGCTACAGTTTAAAAAGATTTTGATGGAGAGACAGCCAAACCATACCAATCCGCACCAGGCCCTCCCAAATTTCGCCCTCACATTTCAAAACCAATCATAACATCCCAAAAGTTCCCCAAAGTCTTAACTCATTTCAGCATTAACTCAAAAGTCCACAGTCCAAAGTCTCATCTGAGACAAAGTAAGCCCCTTCCACCTATGAGCCTGTAAAATCAAAAGCAAGTTAGTTACTTGCTAGATACAACAGGGGTACAGGCATTGGGTAAACACACCCATTCAAAATTGGAGAAATTGGTCAAAACAAAGGGGCTAAAGGCCCTGCACAAGTCTGAAATCCACGGGGGCAGCCATTTATTAAAGCTCCAAAATGATCTCCTTTGACTTAATGTCTCACACCCAGGACACGCTAATGCAAGAGTTGGGTTCCCATGGTCTTGGGCAGCTCCAGCCCTTTAGCTTTGCAGGACACAACCTCCCTCCAGGCTGCTTTAATAGGCTGGTGTTGAATGTCTGCAGCTCTTCCAGGAACACAGTGCAAGCTGTTGGTGGATCCACAATTCTGAAGTCTGAAGGACAGTGACCCTCTTCTCACAGCTCCACTAGGCAGTGCCCCAGTGGGGACTCTCCATAGGCTAAAATCCCATATTTCCCTTCCCCACTCACCTAGCAGATGTTCTCCATGAGGGCCCCAGTCCTGCTGCAAACTTTTGCCTGGACATCAAGGCATTTCCATACATCCTTTGAAATCTAGGCAGAGGTTTCGAAACCTCAATTCTTGACTTCTGTGCACCCCTAGGCTCAAATCCATCTAGAAGCTGGTAAGGCTTGGGACTTGCACCATCTGAAGCCACAGCCTGAGCTGTACCTTGGCCCCTTTTAGTCAAGGCTAGAGTGGCTGGGGGGCAGGACACCAAGTCCCTAGGCTGCACAGAGCAGGGGAACCTGGGCCCAGCCTACAAAACCACTTTTCTTCCTAGGCCTCTGGGCCCTTGACAGGAGTAGCTGCTGCCAATGTCTCTGACATGCCCTGGAGATATTTTCTCCATTGATATGAAGATTAACATTTGGCTTGTTACTTATGCAAATTTCTGCACCTGCTTGAATTTATCCTCAGAAAATTGATTTTTCTTTTCTATTGCAACATCAAGCTATAAATTTTCCAAACTTTTATGCTCTGCTTCCCTTTTAAAACTGAATGCTTTTAACAGCACCACTCAGGTCATCTCTTTAACACTTTGCTATTTAGAAATTTCCTACAATAGATACCCTAAATCATTCCGAGCAAACTGACACAAGAAAATCCAACACCACATGTTCTCAATCATAGACAGGTGTTGAACAATGAGAACACATGGACACAGGGAGGGGAGCATCACACACTGGGGTCTTTTGGGGGAAGAATGGGGGAGGGACAGTGGGGGGTAGGGAGATTGGGGAGGGATAAGGGGGAGAAATGTCAGTTATAAGTGATGGGAGAATGGAGGCAGCAAACGACATTACCATGTATGTACCTATGCAACAATCCTACATGTTCTGCACATGTACCCCAGAACTTAAAGTGCAATAAAATATATATATACACATATATATACATATATATATACACATATATACATACACACACACACACACACACACACACACACACACACACACACACATATATATATACATAAATCATCTCTCTCAAGTTCAAAGTACCACAAATCTCTAGGGCAGGGGCAATATGCCACCGGTCTCTTTGCTAAAACATAGCCAGGGTCACTTTTACTCCAGTTCCCAACAAGTTCCTCATCTCCGTCTGAGACCACCTTACACTGGATTTCATTATCCATATTATTATCAGTATTTTGGTCAAAGCCATACAAGTCCTTAGGAAGTTTCAACCTTTTCTACATTTCCCTGTCTTCTTCTGAGTCCTTCAAACTGTTCCAACTTCTTCCTGTTACCCAGTTCCAAAGTCGCTTCCACATTTTTAGGAATCTTTACAACAGCACCCCACTCTACTGGTACCAATTTACTATATTAGTCTGTTCTCATGCTGCTAATGAAGACACACCTGAGATTGGGTGATTTATAAAGAAAAAGAGGTTTAATGGCTCACAGTTCCATGTGACTGGGGAGGCCTCACAATCATGGAAGAAGGCAAATAGCATGTTTTACATGGCAGCAGATGAGAAGAAAGAGGGCCAAAGGAAAGGGATTTTCCCTTATAAAACCATCACATCTCGTGAGAGTTATTCACTACCATGAGAACAATATAGGGGAAACCACCCCGGTGATTCAGTTATCTCCCACCAGGTCCATCCCACAATATGTGGGAATTATGGGAGCTACAATTCAGGATGAGATTTGGGTGGAGACACAGCCAAACCATATCAGAAGGATTTTCTTTAAATTTCTTCTGTATGGTTGTAGAGCTTTCATGCACTCAGAAGTCAGCCCTGCTTCCAACTCAGGTGACAAATGTAATACTGAATATGCTAGCTCATTCTACAGTCTACTTAGTTTCTTTTCAAAAAAGTTATCTGGCTTAAACTAGGGAATAAATGCCACTGATGTCATTCATTCTGTCGGGATTGGTCCTGTTAGCCTGCAGATAGACTTTTAAATAATTATCCTGACTAC